GACTTTCGTAAAATGTACATAAACTCATAAAAATTTAATCGTTCATTACTATGCATTTATATTTACATAAATACGTTTAAAACATTACAAAACTCGATCACAGCATAAATACTTAATTTACCGACTTTGTTTACATGCCAACCTATTTTCACATAATAAGACATACTATTTAATCTACTTCTGATCTGACCTTCAAGTGGAGTTATGTTGTTTTGCTGAGCTTATTATAGGTCTCTCTGCTGTTCGGTACCTACGTGTAAAACACTTACACGCTAAGTCATCGACTTAGTGAGGCATAATAATAATAATAATAATTAAATATAATAATGATGCCATAATAAGATGAAATGTAATGAAATCATCCATGCAATCCATGTAATATGCATAACAATGTATCTTACCAATAATTTCTTCAAATTAACCATCATGAATTCATGTAATAAATTCATGTAATACTGCTACAGTGACTTTCGTAAAATGTACATAAACTCATAAAAATTTAATCGTTCATTACTATGCATTTATATTTACATAAATACGTTTAAAACATTACAAAACTAGATCACAGCATAAATACTTAATTTACCGACTTTGTTTACATGCCAACCTATTTTCACATAATAAGACATACTATTTAATCTACTTCTGATCTGACCTTCAAGTGGAGTTATGTTGTTTTGCTGAGCTTATTATAGGTCTCTCTGCTGTTCGGTACCTACGTGTAAAACACTTACACGCTAAGTCATCGACTTAGTGAGGCATAATAATAATAATAATAATTAAATATAATAATGATGCCATAATAAGATGAAATGTAATGAAATCATCCATGCAATCCATGTAATATGCATAACAATGTATCTTACCAATAATTTCTTCAAATTAACCATCATGAATTCATGTAATAAGTTCAAAAGGTTTAATAGGTTCAATAACCCATTATACAATACTGAGAACCCGAGGTATGTGAGTACTGTGAGGTTGTGCACAAATGTTGTCACCACATCTCGTATGAATTGCACCGAAGTGCCACGTAGAATTTGTCCAGAAGGACCACGTAATACACTGAAGTGCCACGTAGAATTGCACCGTAGTTCCATATAATATGTCCCTAAGGACCACATAGAAATTCCTTAAGAATCATATATATATACCAAATATCAAGTAGGTGTCTCAAAAGACCTCATACATGTTCCAAAGAATACATATATGTCCTGAAGAACCACGTAGAATTTTGTCCCGAATGACCGCGTAGACCCATTATTCTTGGCATGCCAACTATACCTATAGTTCTTATCTACATAACATGGGCTTTCACAGTTCACATAGTTTATATCACGTAGACATATCATTTACATACCTTTATCACGTTGCTCATATAACTTTTCCTGCATATTCATGTCACATAATACATATAATATGGAATATGATCATGTATCAAAATATTGAATCTAGACTTATCAAAAGTCTAGAAATAAATATACTACTATATTCATGCTATGCATATGCACTAATCTATATCTCTTTGCCTTTTCCTCTATCGATCTTTCTTGTCACTTGTTCCGGAACTTGTTTTGGCTCGATATCTACATAATTATAATTTTAAGACAATTATAAAAAGCCTAAACCTTATAATTCGATACTAATAACTTAAACGAATTTAATAAACTCATATTCCTAATTTCCTTTAGGAGTGTACCGATGCACTATGGGTGCATCGATACCCAAATTAGGTTCGAAATTCTCATGCATCGATGCACCCTTTAATGCATCAATGCACCTTCAAATTTGGTCTTAGTGCATCGGTGCCCATTCATAGTGCATCAATGCACATGCCAATAATAAATTGGTTTCACCCGAAAATTCCACAACTTTTCATTAAAATTCCTCATATAAAACTCCTTCCATACCACTAAACTCAACTACAACCATTTTAACTAACTTTTATCATTCCAACACCTTATTATATCCCATATCTCATTCAAATTCTTAAAACTAAGAATCATACCAAAATTTCCATGTAATCCAAACTTATTTCTAACACATATAACTTCTTATTCACACCCATGACAAGTCAAATTCAACTTCTAAATCCATTTATATATCCTTATTCAAAATTTCACTTATCCACTTCCTATCTTTAATCCTTCATAACTTACAAATCTTTGACTTTCTATGCTCTTTTTCATCTCCATCATCTTTCCTAAAGCTTCATGAATCAAACCCATGCTTTAATTTGAAGGATTAGCCAAAAGAAATCAAACTTACCTTAGGCTTGGGTGCTTCACGTTTGGGAGAAGAATATGAAGAAGATAAGTCTCTGGAAACTTATCTCCTCACTTATGAATCACATGGTTATTATAATACCCACTAATTATTATTTTATTCTTTTATTTGCTCAATGACTCTTTTACCATTTTACTTCCCATTCACTTATTAATTCATCATACACCAATATCTTTTAATTAATTCCTTCACTTTTCAATTAATCTAATTTGGTAATTGAATTTTAAAATCTTACACTTTAATCACTAACTCGGTATTGAGGATGTTACACTAGTAATGGCTAGTTGATTTAAAAATTACAAAGGAAGTACCGATACTCATTAAAAGAGTATCGATACTCCATGTCCTGGACAATTTTATTTTGTAAAACATTAATCCCCAACGGCTCCAAATCATCCCAACGGTTAGAAACAACCACAAACTCATTCCAACATATAAAAACAAGTTGAGGACACTTGAAGAATGGTTAGAACACCTATCTAAGCAATCAAACACAAGAGAAGAGCTTTTTATTTTTATTTTCCTTTCTCTTGTAAATATTAGTGTTTTTGAGCTCATTGCAAATCTTTTATTTGTTTTCTTGTGAGCTTAATCTTTGTAAACATCTTTCTTTTAGAGGTTTTCCTGTTTACATCTTTTATTCCTTGTGAAGAGGGGATTGGTTATAGCTTAGCCTGTGAAAAGCTAAGGAGTTGTAAAGGTTATCTCTTTATCCTGCAAAGAGAAAGAAAAAATTAGTTAATTTGGTAGAAAATCCTTAGTGAGGAGCTAAGGTATTGGATGTAGACTTGGTTGAGAAATTGAACCACTATAAATCGCTGTGCAAATTGTCTATCTCTTTTTACTCCTTACTCCCTTATCTCAAAAACCAATTCGCCCCCTATTGGCAAAACATTCGGTTGATCATTTGTGTTTCACCATTAAACTCAACAACAATGAGTCGATCAACAAGTTTTTTTAATGAGCATGAGTGAAGTAAAATTTTAACGAGCTTAATGAGCAACGAGTCGAGAAACAAAATTTTCAACGAGCACGGATCGAGCACTATCCAACTTGCGATCAACTCGCTCGATAAGCACCCTTAACTGGGACAAGGCTAATTATTTACCTTGAAATTGACTACATATGGTATATAACTTGTATCTTAGTGTAATTTTAAATTCAAAATATTATATATGTCTTAACTTAAATTCAAATCTTAATAAAATCGAATATATATTTTATTTTTATCTTAAATAAAATAAAAAATATATATTAGTCTTTTCTAAGCTTAATAATTTTTTACCTTAACTTAAATATTTACTTTTTATTCTAATAATATTTTAAAATTAAGATAAAAATATATTTTTATAGTTAAGATAAAAATAAAATATATTTCTAAATTAAAATAAGAATAAAATATATTAATATATTTTTTAAAATTAAAATAAAATATAGTTTTTCAAGTTAAGATAAGAATAAATAATATTTAATAATTAAAGGTAATAATATAATATATTTATTATTTTAGTTAATAATATAATATATGTAACAAGTTAAGATAAAAATAAAATATATATTTTAAGTTAAGGTAGGAATAAAATATAATTTATAATTTAAGATAAGATTAAAATATATATTTTAGTTAATATAAGAATAAAATAAATTCAATAAGTTAAAAAAACAAAATATATTTTTTAATGTTAAGATGTGATTTTAAGTTAAGATATATTTAATATTAAAACATTAAGATTATATTAAGAAACAAGATATATACAATATGAACTCTATTATAAACTATACAATGGGCTTGTCTCAGTGTTTGATGCTCTCCTTTGTCACATGAGGGTCACTGGTTCAAATCCCATAGCCCCTACTGCCTTTAAATTTCATTCCACCTGAGGGTGACACATGTCACCCTATGATTGGTGGAAATTAAATATATTAAATTAAAATAATTTAAATTCTCCAATCGGATGACGACACGTGTCATGAAATTTGGCACTACTGATACGTGGCATGATCTGAATCGAAGCTTAAATTTATTTTAATTTATTAAAATTAAGACCAAATTGATAGAATATATAAGTAACAGTGAGCAAATGTGTAATTATACTAATTTTATTAACTGCCACGTCAGCACTTCCATTAACTGTTAACAGCTAATTGTCTGATTGAATGCATTTAAATAGTTAGATGGTCTGATTGATAAGAATTCAAAAATGATGATCAAAGCGAAAAGCAACTATAGTTGGGTGGTCACTAGTATAGTTTATTCAAAAATTTCCCACATTATACAAAGAATAAAGATATAAATGCAAGGATTAAGTTTTAAAAAAAATAAATATAGGCCTAAAGACTACTTTATCCTTGGAAAAAGTAGCTTTTTATGCAAGGGAAAGTTACGGGTTTCCAGAATAAATATATACTAAAATGAATTGGTATGTCAGTCGGGCATCGTAAGGGGCTGTTGATTTAACGGATAGATGATGGATTCAAAATTTGAATTCCCAAAGGAAGCTGTGCGTTTTAAAGACAAATGTGCCCCACAAATCATTTTATATTAAACAATATTATAAATGAATTGGAGTATGTCAGTCGGGCATCCTAACGTGCTGTTAATTTAACGGATAGATCATGGATTCAAAATTTGAATTCCCATAAGAAGCTTTGCGTTTTAAAGACAAATGTGCCCCACAATCATTTGAACTTATTCATTTCCGTTCTTACCTCCCACTTCTTCCCTTTTCTAAACCATTTCTCTTCACTTTTCTAATCGTCTGATTGACCAATCCCAAATGGGTGGCTGTTTCAGCAAAAAGAAAGTCTCCTCCACCCATAACAACCCTCAGCCTCAGCCGAAGGAGGTTCCTCTTTCTTCTGCAGTAGCACCGGTTGCGGCGGAGACCACCCTGAAAGCCGGAGCTGAGCCCAAGAGTCAACTGCAGGTAACTGAAGAAGAACACGTTGTGAAAGCAAGCCAAGAGAAGAGCTTGGTTAAGAAGGAGGTATTCATCATAAAACACAGAAAGAGCCATGACACAGACAAACGCTCCCCTCCTCCTCCTCCGCCGCAAAATCCACCGCAGTCAGCAGAAAACGAGCCTGCTTCGTCTGCCTCCACTGAAGGAGGCATCTGCAACATCAATACGTCTACCGTGAGGACGTCCAGCTGCACTAAAGAGGAAGTCGACGCTATTTTGATACAGTGCGGGAGGCTTAGCAGAAGCAACTCCTCGTGTAAAACGCCTTCATCCAGGAAGTACTCAGGATCCAAGAGAAGTTTCGATTTCGATCGCGAAAACGAAAATGACATCGGCGCTGCTACCTCCACTGATTATGGTTCAAGGAAGAAAGGAAATGAGAGTTTACGTGAGAATGATGACCGCCCACGCCGCCGGCCATCGAGCAGGTCGTCTTCTCAAGGAAGAAGAAGGACTCCAAGCAGAGAAAGAGAGCAACAGCAACGCTCGGGCAGCAGAGAAAGAGGTAGTAGCGGCAGCGGTGGTGGAAGACGAGTGAGCCGGTCTCCGGGAAAAAGATCAGAGAACAGTGAAGGCACTCATGGTACCAATGCTGCCAATGGCACTAACAGGCCCGGGAAGATGGTCTCGGTTCCACCGACTGTTTCTTCATTGGCAACGGATAAGAGCATAAACGGTGTAGAAGCTGCCACGACTACTGCAAATGGTGTCAAAAGGATATCCGTGAAGAGGAATGTCGGAGAGTCCCCTGCAAGGACCGCTGCTTCACCTCGCTCTCAGTCTCCTGCAAAGACTAACCCAAACCCTAATAATGCCAAAGGATGCAACGAGAACCAGCAACAGCCTGCACTTAGTCGCAGTTCATCGAGGAAAGCTGAGCATTCGCCTTATAGACGAAATCCGTTGAGTGAGATCGATCCCAACTCACTAGCATACCCCCAGTCGGTTGCCAACAAGGGACAAGTAGGAATCAAGGTATCCATCAATGTCAAATTACTTATATCCAAACACTTGATTTTAAATTACTCGCATCTAAAGACTAGCATTTGCAGAAATCGAATGTTAAAGGCACGGCAAAGGAGTCACCAATGGTTGAAGATAGCAAGACGCAGGCAGCACCCAAGGCCGGAGCTGATAATCTGAAACCTCAATCATTGACGAGAAGCAGATCCTCTAGGCGATCGAGGGAGTTGGACTTGAATCCAGAAACTTTGGTGAATCCCATTCCATCGTCATATACAACGCTATTGCTCGAAGATATTCAAAATTTTCACCAAAACAACACCAATCCTCCTCAGTTCTCACTCCCAGCGTGCGTTAGCAAGGCTTGTTCCATCCTGGAAGCAGTTGCTGACCTCAACTCGACTACAAGCTCCAACTTCTCTGATAAAAAAGGTCTACCAACAGATAATTCAAACAAGAATGGCTACAACATTAGTGCTGTCGGGCAGAAAATGAAAGAAACCAGAGACCCTTTTGTCGAGTCGGAGGTAATCGAAAGTGTTCACTTGATGGAGCCAAGTTTTCACAAGTATGTGACAGTTAGGAGAGGTGTTGATGGTGCAGACATGGAGGAACAAGAATCATCAGGAAGCAATAGTATTGTGTGCAGTGGGCAGCAGCAATGGGGATTTTCAGGTTCCTCCTCGTGGGAACCGAGTTCGGCAGATTCGATGGATCGATGGACTTCAAGCACTCCCCTGGGACACTCCAAATGCATGCGATGACATAAAAGGATGGATCGATTCTTCACTAAATTGCAACTTCAATACAACCACCACGATTGCATTGTACACATTCAAGCAGCGGTTTTAAATTGTGAACTTTCTTGTGTTGGTGGTTGCTTACTTGCAACCACGATTGCATTTGAATCTCTCGTCTATGAACTTTGCTCTTATCATGCTTTTTCAATTGTCCCTACATTTTGTCTACTTCAATTATTGTTCAGTCAACACCAATATTACTTTGGATATGCGAATTTCATAAAGGAAAATATAATTTTTTTATCGCATATATAATGTAGAGTTGAGGAACTCGACTTAAATTTAAAAATCAATTAATTAATTATTAAATTTAGAGTTAATTGAGTTATTCGAAGTTTATTTTATAAATCGAGTCAAATTTAATTTTTTTAAGTATAGAATAGAGTCAAATTTTATTCCCCTCATTGAATAGATCAGAATCGTTGTGTCCTGCGTAAAGTGAAACTTTATTTGACTTTTCCATTCAAAAGGGTAGGATGGCGGCTCCCTTCATTTTAGCGGCCTATTACCCTATTTTACGACATGAACCATTTGGTTGTTACGCAAGTGTATGTTGCACGTTAAGCAAGTTTTGTTGTAAATTGAATTCAATTTTGCATAATTTAAAATAAAATTTAACAAAATATTTCTTATCAAATATATTACTTTAATAATTAAAATAATAATAACTAACAACTCGTTGGTTTAGTAGAATGAGATACTAGATTTACTGAATAAATTTAGAGGTTTAAATCCTGACGTTTGCGAATGGAGCAAATTAGGTCGTCTCTTGCCTCTGCAATACTTGATTTGGATTAGTCGATCAATAGATCGGATATCATTGATTAATTAAAATTATCATATTTTAAAAAATAGGGATGGGGCAAGACTTAAATTTTGAACTAGGGGGGCCAAATTTCATTTAACCAGTAAAACAATGTGAATTTCGACTACGATTCCCATATGCTAATTTTATAGTTTTAATATAGATGTTTAGTCTAAAATTTAATTAAAAAAACTAAAATTTAGTGATAAAGTTAAATTAAAATTTAAATTTAAACTATAAAATTCAATCACATAAAAGTAGTCTCGACTCACGGTGATAAATATCAATAAAATAAAATATAATTGTAAGTTTCGTATGTCTAAAAATATTATTGTATCTTCCATATTACATCACATCATATTATCATATAAAGTTGTAAAAAATGATAAAAGTCAATTTATTTTACGTATGAGTGTGTATATTTTTTCTTAATATCACATAACATATTCATATTATTTTTCTATTATTAATAAATCATAGTTTCTTCGATTGGGTTTTTTTTTATTTTTTAAGTATATTTTTAGTGAAATAAGGACATAAAATATTTTAACTATTAACTCTTAAACATTCTTTACAAAGTATCGACTCTATAGTCATCGGGGGTATTGAGAACATTTAATCCCTAAAATCATCGATATGAACTATCTTCGTCATAAAATCAGTCATTATATTCATATTGTTTGTTTAGCACAAATAATAGAACATTTTTTCTATTATCTCTTCATTAAGATATATATTTTTCAAATGTCTTGAATCCATTAATGATAATAGTAAATTGATCAGACATCATCTTTATATTTTCATCAAATTTCATCTTAAAGTTTTCATAATTTAGAGGGATGATAATTAATTTAAATTTCTTTATTAAAAATAATTTATAAAATTAATATAATATAAAATAATTTAAGATTATATTAATATAATATACAATTAATATTCTTATAATATTTTATAATTTAAACATTAATTTAGTTATAGATTCAAATGACATCATGAATTTAGTCCTAAATCAGCCTTTAAATATCTAAATGAGTTATTTATCCATTTAGTCCCTCAATTTTTGAGTTCTCATAAAGATTTCTTTCTAGATTCAAATGAGCCCAATTCTCACATGAATGAGGCCAACATATCTCAAGACTCCAATTAAGCTCCTAAATTAGCTTAAGACTATCTTGGGTCAACTCTCATACGATTGAATCAAAATTTTGGTCATTGCATTTTTATTTAAATATTTTTAGATCTAAATTAATTTTAAAATTAAAATTAAAAATAATTTTTTAATTTTTAATTTTTAATTTTAAAGTTTTAAATTAATGACATAACAATTAAACATCAAATTTCTATTTTCTTACAATCTATATTTTTAGGACCCCTTACATGAAATCATAATGGCGATTTAGAATTAAAAGAAAAGCATGGGTGAGTTATGGCACGACAACTGCGGATATAGCGAGGATTTAGTACCTAGAGAATCTTGGCAACCTCGCCCTCCACGGATCTTGTACATTGGCCATGATGTCCACATAAACCCAAATTCGACAACCAAATTTATGATAGACTGATGTCATCTGCTTCTGCTAATTTATGTAGTTAAGACTAAAGACAAAAACAATTAAGGAAACACCAACAATTTCCCCATATTATATCATTGGACAAAGGGTTAAAAAACATGGTTTTGTTAAAAGTCAAGCTGTTTTTCGGTGCTTTAAATGCACCGAATATGCATAGAAAAAATGGACAAAAAAGGAGCATGATTATGCTGATTTTTAGGGATAATTGCACTTTAGTCCCTATAGTTTAGGGTATTTTCAAAGCTTAGTCCTTAAGCTTCAACTATAAATACCTTAACTCATTTAACTTCAAAATCATCCCAAATTATTTCTTTCTCACAATACTAGAGAGCTTTCTTGTGAGTAGTGAGTGTTTTGTAAACACCTGTAAATTTTCTCTCTTTAGTAAAAGATTTGCAGTAGCCCGGAGACGTAGGCAAAATTGGTTGAACTCTGTTATCAATTTTAGGTATTATTTTTCCGCTTTTATTTCGCATTCTCACTAATCTGGTTATAAGGAAATTACTCGTTCTCGTTTATTTCCCAACAACTGGCATCAGAGCTTTTGGTTGTGAATTTTATCAATTTTTTGTGAGGTTACTATTTATTACTGTTCATGTGAATAGTGAATTTTGTGAATAGTAAAAAATTTATTGGTGATACGAATTTGTAGACGGAGGTGCTCTAATACACAGTGGTTCGCAAGAATTATCAGAAACGATCCAAACACAGATTCGAGTGGGAGCGATGGCTGCAGACGAAGAGAAGGTGAAAATTGAAAAGTTCGATGGTGCGGACTTTGGCTTTTAGAAGATGCAGATTGAAGATTTTTTGTATCAGAAAAATCTATATCAACCTCTCTCAGGAAAGCAACTAGAGGGCATGAAGAATGAAGACTGGGCTCTTCTCGACAGACAAGCCCTCGGAGTTATCTGATCCCGCAATGTTGCTTTCAACATAGCAAAGGAAAAGACCATGGCGGGTCTTATGGCGGTTCTCTCCAGTATGTATGAGAAGCCATCGACCTCAAACAAAGTTCATTTGATGAGGCGATTATTCAATTTGCGGATGGTAGAAGGGGCATCAATGGCTCAACACCTAAATGAACTCAACACAATCACAACTCAGTTGAGTTCCGTGAAAATTGAATTCGATGATGAAGTTCGAGCTTTAATTCTTTTATCATCTCTACTAGACTGTTGGAATGCTACTATTACAGCAGTCAACAGCTCGTCCGGAAACAGTAAATTGAAATTCGATGATGTTCGGGATCTGGTATTGAGTAAAGAAATTCGACGGAGAGAATCGGGTGAAGAATCAAGCTCCTCAGCCTTGCACACGGAGTATAGAGGGAGAACTTCAGAAAGAAATTCAAATCGTGGCAGATCGAAATCCAGAAATGGGAAAATCAATAATGAGAAAGAAAGATTTTAACTGTTATAATTACGGCAAGAAGGGTCACTTTAAAAGAGATTGCCGAGCACCGAAGAAAGATACCGACGCACATGAATCTGTCAACATGATAAAGAAGACAGGTGATGCGATGATTCTAAGCGTTAAAAGTCCGATTGAATCATGGATCTTGGATTCAGGGGCATTTTTCCACTCCACCCCATGCCAAGAAATCATGGAGAACTGTGTCAGAGGTGACTTTGGGAGGGTTCATCTAGTTGATGATGAAACCTTGAAGATCGTTAGAAAAGGAGACATCCGATTAAAGTTGCCAAACCAGACCACCTAGAAGCTGAAAGGAGTGAGACATATTCCTGGCCTCAAAATAAATTTAATTTCTGTAGGACAGCTTGATGGAGAAGGATATTGTATAACCTTTTCAGGCTGTGAATGGAAGATTACCAAAGAAGCACTCGTCATTGCTCGTGGTAAGAAGACTGACACTCTCTATGTAACCTCAAATCTAGAGAATATCACTGCAGTAGCAGATGCTGATGGAAAGGCAAACCTATGTCACCAAAGGCTTAGCCATAGGAGCGAGAAAGGGATAAAGCACTTTTGTCAAAAGGGAAGCTTCCGGATATAAAGAATATAGATGTCGGACTATGTGAGGATTGCATCTTTGGCAAACAAAAGAAAGTCAGTTTTGCAAAGATTGACAAGACACCCAAGGCAGAAAAGTTAGAGTTGGTTCATATTGATGTATGGGGACCATCTCCAGTTCCATCTCTTGCAGGCTCACTATATTATGTCACCTTCATCAATGATTCTACAAGGAAGGTGTAGGTTTATTTTCTGAAGAAGAAATTAGAAGTCTTTGATATCTTCAGAAAATGGGAGGCCATGGTGGAAAATGAGACTGGTTTGAAAGTCAAGCGGTTGAGGTCTGATAATAGAGGAGAGTACAAAAATAGAAGATTCAGAGAATTTTACGCAAACAGTGGGATCAAGATGGAGACAACAGTTCTCATGACGCCGTATCAGAATGGCGTAGCAGAGCGCATGAATAGAACTTTGAATGAACGTGCCAGAAGTATGAGGATACATGTCGGCTTGCCCAAATTTCTATGGGTTGAAGCTATCAACATTGCAGCTTACCTGATCAACCATGGGCCCTCAATTCCCTTGGATGGTGGAATACCAGAGGAAGTTTGGAGCAAGAAAGAAATAAACCTTTCATACGTAAGAGTGTTTGGTTGTATTTCTTATGTACTCATAAATTCTACTGAAAGAAGTAAACTTGATGCCAAGTCCAACAAATATGTCTTTGTTGGTTATGGTGGTGATGAATTCGGTTACCA